TTTGTTTTTATTATCTTGCAGTATAAAGTTCTTGTACTGGAGGTAGGCTGCACATTGAAGTGTAAAAGTGCAGGTTGACTGCATGCTAAACTGTAAATATAGACTGCATACTAAAGTAGCACCAAAAATTCTTCCTCCATCCAAGTCTTTTTTCTTAGCACAAAAATTTTAGAGTACAGCCTAAAAATGCCACAAGAAATATGTAGGCAAGATATGTAGGTAAAACTGTTACGAATTCCTGTCTATATTTCTGAGATGAGGTATTGTAAGTATTTATAATATTCAGACTGTTATCCTTATCTTTGTGGCTATATTCTTCTGGATATCTCAGTTGTTTCCCTTTAACCCAACTCTCCAAAGTTTTTGTCCACCTCTGCTGTGGCCGGGTATTGAACTCACAACTTTTTGGGTCTAGTCATTGAATTACCAATGCTTTTATCCACTCGGCCATGTGTCCTTGAGGACAAAATAAAGGGTTCGGGTCGAAATTCCAATCACCTGAAGAATGTTAGAGCGTACAATGACTGAAATGTTGTGAGTATGGCAACAAAGATGAGGATAAAAGTCCGAACATTGTAAATACTGTTAGGAATTTAAATAAAAGAATATATGAACACAAACGGCATCTTTTCTGAAACAACGCACTCAGTTCATTAGTTCATTGTAATAAGTTTTACCCTAATTTTAACTTAAAGAATGCCATTTTAATTAAAAGCGAAAATAATTTGTTGATGTAAATTATATAGAAAGTGCACTAATTTCTGAGTCTTTTGCAGTAAATTTATGTCCAGGAGCATGCACCATATCACCCTTCTTAACAAAACTATTGCTATTAGAATGTGGAATATTTAAAAAAAAAAAAGAAAAGAAAGCAATAGTAATGAAATCAAAAACAAAAGCAGTAGGAATCTGAATGGGGTTGATCAGGTTGGGCATCTAAACACTTGATTGTGCATCTAAACACTTTAATGGGGTTGGATAGGTTGCACATCTAAACACTTCATGTTGTCATTCAATTACCCATCATGAATGAAACTAGGAACATATTTCTGAAATTAAAATGTAGATTTATGACATTTTCAAAATCAACTCTTAAAAATATCAACAATATTTTCTTCCCTTTATACATTACCTGCTTCTACTACTTCAAAGCTGTGGTCTAAATGCTAAGGTCATTGCCATTTTCAGGATGAGAAATGTCTTTATATGAATAACTAAATAATTTAATTATTAAAAGTCATAAAGGAATTCTATTGCAGCATGTATACACTAAAATGATTAGTCTTTTTTCTTAGTGAGTAAGCACCAAAATATCTAGCCTTCTCAATGCTCAGTGGATGGCATCCAATGGGGATTGACTCCCATATGTTGGCAATAGTCTGTATGACTAGCTTATTAACTATTGTTCCACCTGAGATACTTTTTTTTTAAAAATGCTTTCACTCCAAATAAGGCAATAAGGCCTCTAAGATGCAAGGAGTTAGTGGGTATGAGAGAATATGAGAAAAAGAAAACATTATTAATGAGTGAGAACAATAAAAGAACAGGAATTAAGAAGACAGGAGATAATGATTGACATTGTATTTAAATTCTTGAAGATCAAAAGCACTGAAAAGCAAGAAGCCGGAAGAGAGTTCCATAAGTGAGAAGTGTGTGAAAAGAAAGTGTTAGCATAGAACTTACGGTTGCATCTAGTCATTTCAACTGTAAAATGATGAGACCTAGCTGCCAATCTAGTACTGTGCTTAAATTCATGTAGCTTAGGTACCAAAGAGGAAAGTGCATCAGAACAATTAGCATGAAAATATTTATAGAAAAGTCACAAAGAAGCTACATGACAGTGGTGGGAAAGTAACTTAAACCGAGATGCCAGGTCAGGATCAATAATATTACATATTCTTCTTTGGATTTTATCAAGAATCTCTAAATGTATAGCAGAAGCAACAGACCAGATGTGGCAGAAATATTCATTGCATGGATGAATGGTAGACTTATGAATGTGTAAAATAAATTCTGGCGAGAAAAATTGTCCAGTATGACATCGGGAACCAACTTTCCTGGCAGCAGAGCTAGTGAGTGATTCAATATAATCTTTCCATTTCATGTCAACAGAAAACATTAGCCTGAGAAGGCTAACTCTTACATATTGATGATATGTACTAAGCTCAATTTAGTATAGTACAAGGCTATAGGTTTTTGCAAACTAGTCAGCATTAAGCTCATTGACTCAAAACAGAATAAATTAGTGGCTCAGTCATGAGAAAAGAAGTTTAGTGTAGAATCATGTAAGCCAAAAGCATAAAGCACTTAGTAATGTTAAGTTGCGTTGGTTATTTAATAACATATCTCCTCCTATTGGGTTATTTATTATCAGATAGAAGTCTTATAGGACAAAAGTCATGATGATTTAATGGAAAGGTAAATATACATCTGATGTGCACTAAACTTTAAAATGGTAAAGAGAGACCTGGTTTAAACTATAGTAAAAAAAAAAAAAGAAGCAGACATAGGTCCAGTTTACACTAAGAGTTAAAAAAAGGTCAACATATGACTGGTTTATAGTAAAGTCAAAATGTTCCAGTTTGCACTAGACTTAAAAAATAGTGTTAGGCCTTGTTTACATAGGAATAAAAATGGTAGACAAGGGTCCAGTTTTATATTATAGTCAAAAAGGGTTTTATACTATAGTCAAAAATGATTCTAGTTAACACTGGGATTAAAAAGGTAGATGTAAGTCCAGTTTTATACTATAGTCAAAAAAAGTAGATATAGGTCTGGTTTACACTGGAATCAAGAATGTAAACATAGGTCAAGTTTACACTAGATTTAAAAAGGTAGTCATATGTCTGGTTTACACTAAATTCCAAATGGTAGACATAGGTCTAGTTTATACTAGATTTAGAAAAAAATGGTTAACCTGTGACTGGTTTACACTAAACACAAAAAGTACCAGTCTGCACTAGACCTAAAAAAAGGTGGTAGACATAGGCCTTGTTTACATTGGAATTCAAAAGTTAAATATAGATCCAGTTTACACAAGATTTAAAAAAAAAAAATTAGACATAGGCCTGGTTTATGCTTGAGTAAAAAAAGGCTGACATAGGCTCAGTCTAAGCTAGACTTAAAAAGAAAGTTAGACATAGGCCTGGTTTATGCTTGAGTAAAAAAAGGCTGACATAGGCTCAGTCTAAGCTAGACTTAAAAAGAAAGGTAGACATAGGCCTAGTTTATGCTTGAGTAAAAAAAAGGCTGACATAGGCTCAGTCTATGCTAGACCTAAAAAAAGGTAGACATAGGCCTGGTTTATGCTTGAGTAAAAAAACGGCTGACTTAGGCTCAGTCTATGCTAGTCCTAAAAAAAGGTAGACATAGGCCTGGTTTATGCTTGAGTAAAAAAAAGGCTGACAGTCTCAGTCTATGCTAGACCTAAAAAAAAGGTAGACATAGGCCTGGTTTATGCTTGAGTAAAAAAAGTAGATATATGTCCAGTTTATACCCAAATCTGCAAGTATCCACCTAGAAGTTTGCACATTTTGGTTGAGGAAATCTTACTCATCTGCTGAGGTGGCTCTTAGTGTATTGTAATCGAATGCTAAGTATAGTAATAGTAAGCCTTAAACATATTTACTACAATTGCATCATTACATGGTACGAACCTCAATTATATCCTTTTTTTAAATGTCATATATCTTCAGGACATAGGTGATTATGGTCCTTCAAAAATTCTTTTTCTATATTGTGAATTCCTATGGCATATTGGCAAAGATAGTGGGGAGGTTTCTGGTTGTCTTTTTTATGATATTGAATTCAGAATAGTCTTTTGATTGCCACCCAAGGCTGAAGTGTCAAATCTTTCCTGCTACTTAGAGAGAATTGTCTGTTGGATTAAAGCATTGGTTCATGAATTTGACATAGTAATTATAAGTTCAGTCCCTGGGCTAGGCAGTGTGCCCTAGCAAACAGAGTGAGCAGTAAATGAGCTGTACTAAAAGTAAAGATATCCCTAGACATGGGCAGTCTACTCCTGCAGATTAAATAAAGAGTTCAGTCAGTTATTTTTTTTTTTTTATATTTGAATTTTTTAAACTTACAAATTCATTTTTTAATATTATCATTTTAATTTGAATTTTCAAAACAAAATTTTTTTTTTCATTTTTATTTATGAGACAGAGCAAAAAAGTGAGTAACCTACCCAACCGGACTTATAATTGATGAGTACACTCTTAACAACATAAGATATACATCTGACACTGTCTTGATGTTAGATACAGAAAGGAAACTGCAGGAACTCCTATTCAAGGTAATAAGGGAAAGCATGAAGAAAGGACGAATCATCAGTTGTAAGAAGACAGAATATATGGTCATTAGCAAGATGGATAGCTCAATTGATTGATTTTTTTATGCCTTATCAACACTTTGCAGGTTATTTAAAGCCAGAATATATTTTTAGATTGTAAACATTCTTTTTTTTTAGATAATGGTTTAGTGATACAAGTCTTACTAATTAACCCATAGCAATGGGGAGCAGAGGTGGATTCATACCTAATAGAATTTGATAAACAAGAAATTATAATGTAGATATAAAATGGGGGTCAATTTTATATTACAATCAATATATAAACTGATCCCTCACTTCGTGGCCACTGTAGTTTCTATACACTTATATTCCAGAGAATATAAATAAATCTAAAAGACATGGCTCTGTAGCTAATCAGTATTTCATTGATTGATTCATTTTCTATGGCTTATCAACCCCCTGCAGGTTATTTAAAGCCAGAAAATATTTTTAGATTGTAAGAATTTTTTTTGAGATAATAATGATTTAGTGATGCAGGTCTTACTAATTAACCCATGGGTTGGGGGAGAAGAGGTGGATTCATACCTTTCTCCAAGGGTATTTGCATGTAAGCGAATATAACGAACCCAACTGGAATTGGAACTTGGATCTCTGATAAGCAATTAAAAAGTATTTATCCATTATACCACCTACACATCCAATCTTACAGCACCTGATATTTCGGAGTGGTCACCTGTCTAGGTACTGACAAGCCTCAGGTTCCTTAACTTCAGTGATCATACGGGAACTGGTGTTTCCAAATGATATGGCCATAAGCCTGAACAGCTCAAGATGTGAGCTATGAATTAGAGATGTCAGAGTGAAATAAGAAGAGGAATTTAGTTATCTGGGAAGTAACATAACAGATGGCGGAAATGGTGACGCAGAAATCCGAAGACTCATTAGAATAACAAAAGATGCCTTTCAAAAACTAAATAAAATATTAAGAAACAGGAAAATTTCATTGGAAACTAAGATAAGAATGTACAACTGTTATGTAATATCAGTTGTCTTCTATAGTGATGAATGCTGACTAATTTCTTCACAGATGAAGAGGGGACTTGAGGCAACAGAGATGAGGCCCCTACAGAAGGATGGTGAGAATAGAATAGATTGAACATGGGAACAACAAGAAAATTTTAAGGAAAATAGGAACAAAAATGACACTTGTGCTTAGAAATAGAAAGAGACAGTTGAAATTTTGGGGACACATAATGAGGAAAGAAAGTTTGGAGAATTTGACACTCACAGGGCATATTGATGGAGAGAGGGACTAAGTGAAACAGTGAGTAACCAACCTTATATAAATGGATAGCAGAACAGGGGCTGGTAGGGATAGAAAGGGGACAGACATTGCTTAATGATAGGAAGTTGTGGAGAGCTGTGATCATCTGCGTCTTGAACATAAAAAGAGGAATCATTTTATTGGTTTAAAACTTCCTCATTTCTTAATATTCACACAGCTTAGTTAAGTATGAGTATTTATCAGCTCGCCTATGTAGCAATCAAATGTGACACAAGGTCAGTTTAAAGTGAGTTTAACAGTAATACTGTGAAAAAATTGCTAAAGATCCCTTGGCACTTCCCTTTTTGGGGACACCTCAGATGCCAGGTAATGATTCCAGGCTCTTCCTGAAAGTGAGGTACTGCCTGGAGGGATGGCCTCCTGGAGCTCAAGCTTAATATCATTTTGAAACTACCCAGCTGAAGTCAGCCCCCTAGCCTAGTTAAGTATGGTACTAAACCAGTTTCGGGATAATATACAGTAGTAGTAAGATTGTATAGAGCCAGGTGAGAATGTACTGCCTGTCTAGAAAATCATTTTTTCCTTTCTGATTTCTTCATGTAAAATATGGCCAACTAGAAGAAAACGGGAAGATTGTATTGTGCCAACCTTCCAGGTATGGTGGGGCTCCTACCTTGAAAATCATCTTTTTTAGTTTATCCATTCTTTCTTATTTTTTTTTTTTAAAGCTAGAACTGAAAAACAACGCGTATGCACGTTCGCAGTTAGCTTTTTTTCATATATGAATATACTTTTTTTCGTTTTCTTAACATTTTGTAGTGTATCATCACACAGTCCCTAGGGACCCCCACCCTGCGCCAAAAATGAAGAAGAAAAAGTAAAAAAAAAAAAGAAAAAAAAGAGAGATGGAATAACGTTTAGGTAACGCCTTTTTGGGGGTGGAGATAAGAAAGCTGAAATAATAATAATACCGACTCTACTCCTACAAAAAATAAAACAAACATTCTTTTCTTTTTAGTTTTAAAATAAAGTTTGTTTGACGTTTTTATCAAGCTTCGTTTTTAAGCATTTCGTAAGAACTGATTAAAAGAAAAGATAAAAAAAAACCTCAACAAGTTATCACTTCTTCCCGCCTACCTATTCCACGCCATTGATTGACTGAACTACTAACCTCATCCCCCCCATTAAAATTTGGCAATGGACTGCGCCGTCTATCTACTGTCAAAATGGCGACTACACGTGTGACGACTGTCGGTAAGAGACGGAAAATGTGCTGACACTGACCCCTCACAGTCGATATCAGCAATTATCTAATAATCACTTGGTATCAGTGATGAGTGCCGGGGGTCATGTCGCTCCGAGGGAGGCTGTTTACACCCCTATCAGCTACAGGTCATCCCGCGAAGATCAACCCTACAAGTCGGTAATTTCTCCGAAGCTCAACGTTAGTCGTACTAATTCTATTAGCAATAACTTTGATGTCGTCCCCGCTTCTTCTCTGCCTGCATTGAAGGCGAGAAGCCAGCCACCGGCCCAAGTAAATAACGTCACGCCCAACAGTAACTCGGCTTCATCTTCTCCACAATACAGGAATAAAAATGAAGATTGGACCTATTCGAAAGGCAATACTGTGGTGAAAGGAAGCGGAGGGTGCCGCTTGTACGGTTCGATCCTGCACAATTGTCGACAACAAGGTGCGCTTTATCATGATCAGGATTTTGAGGCCAACGATACTTCTATTTATTTTTCACGACTTCCTCCTTGTCAGTTTGTATGGAAAAGATGCACAGTAAGTTTTTTTTTTTCTTTTTTAAATCTCGTCTTATAAAAGCAGTGGTTAACAAACTAGTCTAGCAGACCAACTTTTTAGAGAGTTTAAAAAAATTCTCTCTCTCTCTCGATATTCCAATAGTCGTGCTGCAGAGTTAACTTTAGGGCGAGATAAATTCGTTTTTTAGGCTATCTCTTCTGTAGTGAGTTCGATTCTCACTGGAGTGGCCAACAATTGTGGAGTTGTACTATACTTAAGTTTGTTGTAGCTTCTGCTTAAGTTACAACAGTAACACAAAGTCACAATTGTTGGTCACCCAGTGAGGATCGAACTAGCTATAAAAAATAAATGAATAAAAATAAAAAAAAACCCTGATATTTACTCTTTATTTAAAAAAAAAACAAACTTAGTTTTTTGGGGGTTTTTTTTACGTCGTTTCATGATTTAAAAACATGACTCAAATTAAAATTTTTTATTCATTATTTTTAATTTATTGTTAAAAAAAAGAAAAAAATGATTCATAAAGTAAAACAACAACAAAAAAAACTGATCATTTCAAGGTAAAGACATCGTGAATATTTTATTTTATTCATTTTATCTTAAAGCGAAATTGTACATATGCAACTTTTTTAAAAACTTTTTTAATCCAATAAAGCAATTTTAAAAGTTTTTTGATTTACTCCCACCCCAATCGTTTTTTAACATCATGGGATCTGCATTTTCTGATGCTGTCGAAAAATTATTTAAATGTGCGATTCCTGCTTCTTATTCAAAAATAATTTACTTTAATTTTTACTTAAAAACAAAAAACACGTGATCTGTCCCAATATTGATAAGTTAGAAATGTCAAGGTTACATTTTTTTTTCATTCATTTTCTTCACTTCATCTTCTTTTTCATGAGAAAAAATTAAATTAAAAACCTAATTTCTGAAGAAATATCACATAATTCAAACTTTTTTCATAACCTAACTTTTTGTATCGGATTTTTTTTTTTTCGAAACATAAGTTTTACAAAAATAAGAGTAGGAGGTTCGCCGATATCGTCCGGTTCATGCTTCTCCTTGCTCTTTTGAACAGGAGTAGGGGTTCATCCTTTCTTTCCTGTTTAGCTTTTAGGATTGGGTTTCATGTTCTTTCTAAAAAATAAAAAAAAAAATTGTTCTTTCACACCTAGCAGCCCCTTGCGTCTTAGTGGCATTATTGCCTTGCTTGTGGTGAAGGTGAATTGATTTAAAAAAAAAAAAGAAGGTATTTTTTAAAAAAATAAAGGTTACTTAGCACGCTACAGATTTTATAAGTATTCGAACAAGTACATGATACCGGCCTGACTGACCTAAACGTGACATTTGAATGTCAAACAAAAACAGTTTGGCCCTAACCTAGAAAATAGCGATTCCTAACCGAACCGGGTTTTTCTACTGAAACCCGAGTGTAACCTTTACTTTGAGGATTTCCGCTAGAAATAGAAGCAAAGTGTAAAATAGAAATTGATTGTACTAATTAATATTTGATCTGATAAAACTCAAAATCAATGTTATTCCCGATTATTCTTTTTTTATCATTAATGATGAAAATAAACAAAATAATTCACTGATGCATTTCAGCGCCAGAAGTTTAAAAGGATCAAAATTTTTTAAAAATGTCAATATTTCTGATGACTAGCTACACAACACTGTACAGCATCTACCTTTTTCAGGTTTTTGAAGTGGATTATTAGGCAGATTCTCACCTTTGTAAAAACTAAAGATAGGAGCAGCTTACGAAGTAACTAAGTTTTTTTTGTTTTTTTTTAACAGGGTCATCGCCACCACGATCATTATTATTAATAATAATACAACAAAGTAATTAATTAGCTAGCACTTCTGAGAAATCGGCAAAACCTTAAAAGTGCTTACATAGCAATTTTTTTTCTCCGAAATAGTAGATTTTTTTTAACCTTTTTTTGCATGTCCGATCGTAAAATAAGGACTCCTCCTTTTTTTCTTTAATCTTTCTGTTTTAAGTTTTTAACTTTTTTTTTCAAGTATTAGACAACTATGTTTCTTTTTTTTTTTTATCTTCGAGATCAAAGAATCCTCTTTTTCATACCGTAGAAAAATCTTTGTAAAAGAAAAAAATCTGCTATGTGCTCCCTTATTTATTTCTGAGTATCGGTGGTCACATGGTCAGACCCCCTTCCTGTGGCCATATTTCAATGCCGATTCTTACCATATTTATGGATCTAGGGTAAAATAACAACAGAACAGGCCTGTTGCAGTTTCCATCATTATTATTTACACAACTAGACAACAAGTCTGTTGGTTGCGTGCACCTGTCTGGAAGTAAGAGAAAAAGAGGAACAATGTTGGAGTGTGTGTTTGTGTGTGGTAGGGGTAGTGCCCCCTCCAAACATTTTGGAGAATGAGAAGAAATAGAATATTGCTTCTTCCCTACACCTAGTGGGGGAGGGGGAAATAGGTCTTCTTTTTTTTTTAAATAAAGGATACTTAGACAACATTGTCAGTTTTCACATCTGGTGAGTTGCTGGTGAGGCATCTTGTAATCAGGATTTATTCACGCGCTAAACTACGTTGAACTAAAAAAAAAAAAACTTGAATTCGACATTCTTTCACTGGAGTAGTTTTTTTTTTTTTTTATTGTTTTTTTTTTTTTTTTTTTTTCCGCATTCTTTCGTAAACCGCCGTCGTGTTGTCGCTTGACCGAGCATGCAAGTTTCGCATTTCTTTTTTTAATGTTTAGAAAGTAAGGTAGGTAATTG